TCTGATTGGTGACCTTTACAGTCACTCTGCTTCAGGATTTCATCCATCTGATTGGTGACCTTTACAGTCACTCTGCTCCAGAATTTCATCCATCTGATTGGTGACCTTTACAGTCGCTCTACTCCTGGATTTCATCCAACTGACTGGTGACCTTTACAGTCGCTCTACTCCTGGATTTCATCCAACTGAACTGGTGACTTTTACAATTGCTCTACTCCTGGATTTCATCTACTTGACATTCTGTTCTGATAATGCAGATTTTCAATAAGTGACAACCTGCACAAGCCTTTGAAAATCTCCAAGATGGGCTAAAAATATTAATTTGTTTTAAACGGATGAGTTTTGCAGGCAATGGAAAGATAATGTTTAACTCTTAAATCTAGTTAATTAGTGATAAATATGGCTTACCGCTCTGATTCCTGTCACACTTGAAACATTAACTATGTTCCCTAAAAAAAAGAAAATAATCATGGCAAGAGACAGTTTCCAAAGTCATATTTCTATGTAGAAAATGAAAACAAATAACAAAAGTTAAACTCATTGATAGACTATTTGAAAGAAAAAAAAAGCAACAGCAAAATATTAACCAGTTTTAAGACATTGTTTCCTATAATAACAATGTAGAGAAGTTGAAAAATGTGCATCAAATATAAACACACACATGTACAGAATTTATCTTTTTAACTGTCTGTCTCCAAGGTTATATTTTTCCTGATTTTTCTAGTGAACAAAAGCAATCTTTACGAATAAAAATTTACAATATTAATACATATTTCTAACCTAGGATACGTACACGTGACGTCTGTGTGCTATATCTTTCTACACTAGTTGGGAAGTTCATATTTATTAATTAAATGTTGCTATTTGGTAACACAGAAAACCTGATGCCTTCTACATATTGAAAAATTTTTACTTTTTAAAATATCAGCATATTAAACATCAATATTTTAGTTACCTTTCGTTTTTATAAGGTGAGGAATAGAGAGCTGCATTACGTGAAACACAGATCGTAAGTTAATGTTCATTTGAATGTCAAAATCTGATAGAGATGTGTTTTCTGTAGAACCTGGAATCAAGATTCCTGCACTGTTAACCTGTTACAAAAGAAATATTACAAGAGATAATACAAATCACCTTGTAATGTACTTATCAACTATGTATTCAATATTATAGTTCTATAAAGTACAAGAAAATGAATACACTATGTTTGGTTGAACTCACCAAGATATCCAATCTCCCATAATGCTCGATAGTTGATTTAACAACATTCTTGGCATCCTCTTCATTTGACAAATCAGCAGGTGCAAGAAAGACCTGAAACACGTGTAATACCAAAAAAAGTTTTAATGGGTTCCATTAAGTGACACAAGTATCCCCCCTCAAAATAAAAACATATTGAGGGACAACTTGTCGCCCCATCTAGAAATTCCCATCCACTAAACTTTAATAAAAATTAAACAAACAAAGCCAGTCCTTATTATTCAGATGCATCAACACTATCAATTTGCTTAACAATCTTAAACACATCAATCAAATCCACTGTAACTGTTTTTTCTTTTTTTCAAGAGAAAATATTTAACTATTGCATCTGAGATATCATATTAGTAGTCTTCATCTACACTCTTTCGAACAATTCAATATCATTCTTAACCAAAGACAGTACACCAAATATAGACTAACCTGCGACTTATACAATGAAATTATAACCTCTTAAGAGTTGTATTCAATATTTCTATAGATACAGCCCAAAATCCATTTTGCCCTGCCACTAGCAACAGTACATTGCTTGGATGGCTTTAGAGACTGAACAATCAGAATACCAAATCGTTTTCTTCCATAGCACTGTTAAGGTTATTCCAATCAAAATTATAATTCAAATTATGATAACCCACTTGTACTATCTTGTATTTATTATAATTAAAAGCCATCTGCCATTTATTAACCGAACTCACAAACTAACCGAAATCCTTTTGTAAAGCAGCAGCATTCTCCTCACAGTCAACAACACCAATAACAATGTCAAATGACTAATAAGGCAAGTGAAAGCAACTGGTTATCCAAAAAAAATTGTAAACTTTGTTAAATGACTTTGCAGACTTTCAAAAACCTTTTCCACCACTGATGTAAGAATAATAGATCTATAATTACTGGGACAATTATTTTCACCTGCTTTGAAAATAGGAGAAACATTAGCCAACTCCCAATCTTTTGGTACCTGCCCACTATTCAAAGAGTTAGAAAAAAAGAGTAGCTTCAGAATTAATATCATCATCTTGTTTACATCTAGCAACTGTTCAGTACAGACAAGTTTTCAATTTCTTCATTAAATTATCCAATCCCAACCAAATTTTCCAAGACTTTTTTGGGGGTACATCGATGGCTAAGTGTTTGCAAAGGTGACTTTAAAAGTATAAAGAAATTTAACAGGATTCCCTAACTTTGAGCAACTTAAAAAACTAACTGAAGGGATGGTGCTGGTAAATATAGAGTGCAGATGCACAAATAAATTTACAAAGCGTGTCAAACTATGGAAATTTTTGTGTTTGTAATATATTCAATTTCAGATACTTTGAAAGGACAATACCAATAAGATATTATATTTGTTTGAAAGTTTTATTTTGGACTTCTGTTGTTATACTTTTGATAGAGGTTGTAGTAGCATATTGTTTAGTACATTACAGCAGTTTCATTACAAAACGTGGTTGTAAAGACAGTTTTTGTTGAGAAAGTGCAAGATACAGTTTTATAATCAATACACAGAGGAATATTGTTAATATATTGTAATCCTCAATTTGATTATTTACAACAAAAAACAATTAGTAAACCCATCTCTGGCCAGGACTAGTTACAAACAATACAACATAAATATCAAGGTTATTAATTTCAATAAATTTCAGAGGAATTAGGAAAAAGAACCAAAAGAAAAAAATCTTATTCACCAGACAATAAAACAATGTTTCAAAATTAAACCACTTCTTGAGATCACTAACAATACCAAGTAATAATTATTTTCAAATATATCTCATGAACCAACTCATTTAATATCTGTATTTCACTGCAAGGGCAAGTTAGTGCCAGTTTCATAATACATACATACACACTCAAAATCACGCTATAGATCGAAGGTGCTTTAGTACATTAATATAACTATAAATTCACAGTTGAACTGAATGATAGATAATTGAACAGTAAACAAAACCATAAGAAAATAAAAGTAGAATTTATTATCTCACACTGCTTCAAAAACATAATTAGCCGAATGTAACTAATAACCTTGTCATCAGGCAATCCAGCCTCTTTACATCGGTCAGCAGTTTTCTTTAGGTTTTCCTCATTTCTTCCTGTCAGAGCTAACCAACATCCTAGTGATGCAAAGTGAACGGCTGTTCCAGCTCCAATCCCAGAGCTAGCACCTAAATAAGTGAAATAAATTCTTCCTCTTATCTTATGTAATTTCACAAATATAAGTCATTTTAAACACTTTATTAACTAATGAATTTAAATGCATAACAGCAGATTTTTATGTCAGCTGTTTTATGTGTTTTAACTATATTTTTAATGGAAATAAGAGTTGCAATAATTACATGTTTTTTTAGTAAAAGTTCCTCTAATTAAACTAATCAGACTATAACACTTATAGTTTGAAACCTGTGTATTGTTCCTTTGGTGAGTTTAGATTATATCATCCTTATATTCTTGAGAACAACTCAAAAATTGTAAGTGTTTCTTTGAAACAGTAAGTGTCTTAGACTCTAAGTTAGAGCAAAAGCTGGGCTGAATATTCTCATCTCAAGAATGACTAAATTGTTAGACTTTTAAAACTAAGTTTACATATTCCTAAGGCTTCAAGTACTGAGGGAAATGAAACAATATATAATGGTAAGTATGTTTGATTTAAAATGCATGCCATACAAAAAGGAAATATAATTAAAATTTCAAATGTTATTACATTATAAAGTAATATTAAAAAGTTATGCTACCATATTCATACCATAACTGTTTTAACTAAATCTCTGTAGATAATACAAACCATAAAACCTGAAGCACAACGAAACGTTATACTGTTGCAACTTTCAGCTTGTTAATTGGCTTTAAAAATTTAAGTTGAAAAAAAGATGCAGAAAAACTGGTGCAAAACTGCAATGCTGCGTTATATAAACAGTAATTTGTTGTAACACTGTGTTACCCATGGCTTTCATAATCGCTAACCTTTTTTAACTTTATTTCTATCATATTCAAACATTGTGTGATATTTCCTGAATTTTGTTGTCGCAACAATTGTTTTGACCAATGTAAACTTTCAATTTTACTTTTACCTTCACTTCTTCAGATTGTAACATTTCTCAATAGAATTGTATTAGAAGTTTTATGGTATAATTATTATAAGAGTTAATTGGCTGTAATTTTGATGTAGGGAATTAAGTACAAGAGTTGGTGTATTACTATTAACTATCATTATGAGGAGACTCCAAAGTCCAAATACTAACCTTCGTTCTGTACTTAGCCTGTCGGCGAAGCTAATCATAGAATTGTTCACACTTTACGTAATGCATATATAATATTGTATGGTTTTGTGACTAAACATCTATGTGGTCAAGTTTTCCAAAATGTGGTGACACAATATAAAGAAAAACCAATAAATGAGCTTACCGCTGATCAAAGCAACTTTGTCCTTAATAACAGGCATAGTAGTCATAAAAACGTAAGTACAAAACTTACTCTGTACCTAATCATCAACGTGCCCGCCTGTTAACAACACGTCGCTAACGTTTTATTGAAATAACCGATCTTATTCACAAAGACGAAAATCAAGCTAATTTCCGGCAAATTACTTGTTTAAAAGACCAGAAAGGTTAAAATATGGGGTAAGAGACTGCTGGAATTAATAATTTAACCCCTTATGGAATGCTAATAGTCTTTAAAAGTTAATATTTGTTCATAATTTTTTAAATTTTAGATACTTGTAATAAATTTGACAAGTAGATTTTACTTATACTGAAGAGACTTAACTCCAATCGAAAGTAAAAATTTGATATTCTAAGAGACACTTCAAATAATACTACACTTTAAAAATTAATGTGAAAATCAATCTATCATTTGATTTACTACTTGCCACTGACTTGTACTGGTTTCAGGAAATTCCACTCCTTATGAGTAGCTGGATAGACAGGGCTTTACATACATTTAGTATTTATTTTAGTATTTTAAACAGTTTATGTGGTTGCATAATTCACAAGAATGAATTAGCAACGACAATGTTACATATCCTTGAACTTCCTATATAAATATATGATAACTGTGAGTAAAAGACAATTCAATACACTATGTTACGTCTCCGTTCGTTAATTAACTTTCCTTAACTTCGTTCCGACGAAACTTTAGCGTTTGACGCCACGTTTCTAGAACTATCCTGTACCTTGGCGAATGCTCTAGCATTTACTAGATATAGGGTAGTCTGGTATATAAAAGAGGGTGACAATGTGACGGGATAATAATGTGTGTGTAGATAGTGAGTAATTGAACTGCAGTCAGAAGTATTGTTGACGTTCGTTGATATAGCGTTTGTTATAGAGCGACTGTTGAAAATAAGTGTATCGTAAAGTTGTATTCGGGAAGAATAAACCAGTTTTATTATGTAAGGACTTGTGTCGCTAAAGTTTCGTCGGAACAAAGTTACGGAAAGTTAATTAACGAACGGAGACGTAACAGTATTGTTCATCCCGAACAATAGCCACTTAAATTAAACCAATAAAAAATTAACAATAACTTAATTAAATGTACAGCATTTACAAACACAAAATTAAAATTCAACAAAGTCTCTTAATTTTACAGGACTTATCTTCTTCCGTACTGATCTCCATGTCGTTGGCTTCTGCTTCACTTGAGGTTCATTTGCTCCATCGGGAATTGTCCTATCATCGGTAACAGTCACATCAGTGGCGGTAACAAGGCTTCACTGTTTCCCTTCTCAAAACCTAGAACAGTTTCTTCTTTTTCTACAGTGGACTTTCCAGGTGACACGTCTTCAGCGGCGTCTTTTGTTCCATTGTTTACTTCATCCCAGCTGAAATGTCCTGGACCGTGATAACGCCAAAGCCTGTTGGCATGCGCCACCTTTGGCTTACCTCGCCGACCACATTTTTTTCGGAAAGTCACGTCTGAGAGACGATCCACTATGTCATATGGGCCTTCCCATGGAGAAGACAACTTAGGAGACTTCCCTTTGGTCTTCCTGGGATTATACAACCACACCTTGTCTTCTCCTGGTACAAAACTGACTTCAGTAGATCTCTTATCATAACATAGATTCATTGAATCAGCAGAAGTTTTCAAGTTTTAACGCACTTGATGGTGAATATCATCCACCCTTTCAGACAACACTTTCACGAACTCTGACACATTT